ATGAGGAGGGAGTAATCCTGTGTCTAGACTCGGGCCACTTCAGATTTGCCGGGAGGGAGGAGACCCTGTTCCTGTTACATGGCTGAATGCTGCTCCCTGCAAGAAAAACATCTCCCCGTTCGCTGGAGAACTGGCGTGTGGTGTCGGGGCGAGGGAGTCTGGCCTGGGCGCCTCTCTCTCCCGCTTGCGTCCCCTTTTGTGTTTGGATTTTGGCTTTCAGTGGTCAGCCACATGGTCCCCACCTGTCATCTCCCCCTGTGGTGAACGCGGACTCTCTTGGTTCAGGGATGGGACAGGCTGGGGATTGGGGGGGGGGGGCTTTCAACCAGGCTCCTGTGCCAAGAGAGCCAAGCTGCTGGGCTCGGCTGTCGAAGGGTGGGCCCTCGAATGGCTCCTGTGCCTTGGCAGCCAACGGCCCCTGCCGGCATTCTGGTTGTAAGTCACAAGCATAAAGAAGACTGTGAGGATTCAATGCTAATAAAAAGGGTACAGAGAGATCCTAGTGTATTGTCCATTCTGGCACGGTGAAACATTCACACGTAAACTTCGTAAGTGATACTGTCGTATCAAAAATTCATAATACATCGTTACAAATAGATATAAATATCATAAGTCCAAGTCCACAAATCCAGAAGTCCTAACAAAGATTCCAGATAAATCTTTTGTTTCATTTGTCATCTTCAGAGATGGACTGGTGTTGTCGTCAGTAATGGACGGCTTTGAAATGAAGGAGCCAACTTTGAAATGAAGGAGATTGTACCCACTTTGAAAATGTGATTGGTAACCCACTTTGAAACCTCTTTTTCTGCAACTTGAACCTTGGCGATATTTGAAATTGATATTGGAGAACTGAACATGTATATTCAGTTATATATGCACACACACACACTCTCTCTATATATGTGTGTGTGTGTGTATAAACACATATAACACACACACATATATACAACAAGAAGCAGGGACCTGCGATACTCGTGGGGGGGGGGAGTAGCAGGAGCTCTATGTGAAAGAGGAGGAAGCAGCTGCAGGTGAGCCCAGGAGGCAGGCCCACCAGGCCCACCAAACCTTCTCCCCCACCCTCCTTGGCACCGGCCGCGAGGCCTGCGCAGCTCCCAGCCGCCGGGCCCGCCAAGCCTTCTCCCCCAGGTGCGTTCCCAGTGCGTTCTCTGCTCATGTGCAGGGAACGCACTTTTTTTGCACACCTGGGGAGTGCCCCAAGTGTGCAGGAAAATTTCTTTGCCCCCTATGTGCCCCCAATGTGTGGATTTAGATCCCCTCACAGAGGGAGCATCTTGGCTATTATGTGTGTGTGTGTGTGTATGTATGTGTGTATATATGTATGTATGTATGTATGTGTATACACAAACACAATATATAGTAGTCCATTATTATTTAAGACAACACCAGTCCATCTCTGAAGAAGGCAATTGAAACAAAAGATTTATCTGGAATCTTCGTTAGGAATTGTGGGTTTGTGGACTTGGAATAGGACTTGTGGATTTGGACTTAACAATATTTATATCTGTTTGTAATGATGTATTATGAATTTTTGATATGACAGTATCACTTATGAAGTTTATGTATGAATGTTTCACTATGCAAGAATTGGCAATACGCCAGGATCTCTTTGTATCATTTTTATTAGCGTTGAATTCTCACAGTCTTCTTTACGTTTGGGACTTACAACTGTTTCGACTGTGCATCTTCCTGTCGTTCTACTGGCATTCTGGTTGTGGCAGCCATTTCAGCTTTCTTTTCTCTCTGTGTGTGTGTGTGTGTGTGTGTGTGTGTGTGTGTGGCATTGCGTGAAAAGAACTGATGCACACAGGAAAGTGCAGCCCATGAAGGATGCTGGAGCCCTGCTGGGACGGACCAAAGGAGACCTATCCAGGCCAGGGTGTTTTCCCTCAGGAACACCACAAGCAGGGCATGGAGGCAGTGGCCTTGTTGGGTCACCCGGGCCCGCTCTGGTCTGGGTCCTGGACTGTCTAGGGTTGTGTGCAAGAGCATCTCTTGCTTGCACCTTCCGATGGGTCTGGGGAGGCCCAGGCAGCTGGTGCGGGGTGGCTTGGACAGGCACCCATGCGGAGGGAGGAGGGGGAGGCCTGCCTGGACAGCTGGGGTGCTGGATCAGCCGGGAGTTGTTTGGCTGGCTGGGGCAGGAGGGTTTTGGCAGATGGAGAGGATTAAAAAGGGGGGTGGGGTGACCCCAGACTCTCCCAGGTGGATGTCTGGGTTATGAGGCTGACGCAAGGTGATGGAAAGGGCGTGGTGCTTCTGGGGGGAGGGTCCTGGCGGAGGTGGGAGCTTCAGCAGGTGCCATCCCTTCCAGGTTGAGGAGGGATTGGGGGGGGGGCTGTCCTGCCTGCTGTGTTGCGCTGGTCCTTCTTCCTCATATTGGGTCAAATGTTAAAAAAATATGTATCATTTGCATCGAAAGCACAGAAGCTTGTCGCAGCCTCCCTGATCTTCCACATTTGCCGGTTAAGGGGAAAACACTAGGGTTGCCAGCAGTGTTCCCTGTAAGCTGAGTTGGTGTGAGCTAGCTCACAGTTTTCTAGCCTCCAGCTCACATGTTTTTGCCTTAGCTCAAGAAGGAGGGTTCCAGAGCAAACTAATTTATCCAGTAGCCAAATCGCTCGCTCACAACTTTAATGCCAGCAGCTCTCCAAGTAGGATTTTTGCTCACAAGACTCCACGGCTTAGAGGGAGCATTGGTTGCCAGGTCCTCTCAGGCCACCGGCAGGGAATGGCAGGGTAGGGTTGCCAGCTCCAGGTTGGAAAACTCCTGGAGATTTGGGGGTGGGACCTGGGAAGGGGAGGGACCCCATCATGGTATAATGCCAGAGAGTCCACCCCCCTCCAACTGATCTCTGTAGTCTGGGGCGGAGCTGTAATTCCAGGCGATCCCCAGGTCCCACCTGGAGGTTGGCGTCCTCAGAAAGCGCTGTTCAGCCCAGTTACAAAGATGATCTGACTCCAATGGTGTAATGTATCGAGACCCGACCGACCGTGTGCGAGGCTAGCGTTCCACGCTGTCATGCGAAGCGACCGAGCTTCGCTCCGGAGAACAATGGGCCAAGCGGGATCCTAGCCCACACCTATCTGAAGGCTAGGATCCGAGTAATGTCCTGTAGAATGACTGGCCACTGTAAATGGCCAATCACTAGAGTGGGGTGTGTTTTGGGTGTGAGGTTCACTGGGAATATAAGCCGACCTGCGAGCTGGCCAGAGTTGTCTTGTTCTTCACTAAATAAAGTATGAGAGCTGAATTCACTAAGTAAGTCTCAGTACTTTTCAAATGGTAACAAGAGAAAGGGATTTTACTTGCAAAAATAGAAGCACGTCTCACATAGCATGTTCACGTGGGTACATTTAACTTCCGTAAACAGGTTAACTTCCGAAAGGTTATTTTGCTAACAGCTCCAAGCCCAGGTGAGAGAGAGGAGGAGAGAGGAGGAAAGAGAAGGGGCCAAGGAGGCTCAACACTTAAGGAGGGGGGGCCCAGTGAGAGAATTCTCTTAACCCTTTCTCCCCCAGATGCTCTTTGCACACAGAGTTACGAATACCCAACACCCTGTGGCAGGGCAATTGTGGCTGGTGTCTGGGCAGTTGTGTGCACTTGGGGGCTACACATGTTTCCCCACCCCCCCCCCCCCCCCCGCTCAGCCAGGCAAAGGTGCAGTGAAGGAGTGTCAGTCACTGTCTAGAGCTGCAGAGGAGTGCCTGGGTTCCAAATGCAAGCGTGGGGCTTATCTCGTCGCCGTCCCCTGACTTGGATAGCCCAGGCTAGCCCAGTCTTGTCAGAAGCTAAACAGGGTCAGCTCTCTTTTAAGTCCGGCGGCACCTTGAAGACCAACAAAGTTTTATTCAAGGTATGAGCTTTCGTGTGGACACTCACTTCCTCAGATACAGTGAAATGGAAGTGACCAGTCCATACGTACATACAGAGGTCTTTGCCTCCGTTAAAACAGCTTCACTATGTTACATGCTAATTTGCTGTTCGACCTGTATATATATGTATGCAGTGTTAACTTCCATTTCACTGTATCTGAAGAAGTGTGTGCACACATGAAAGCTCATACCTTGAATAAAACTGTGTCGGTCTTCAAGGTGCCACCGGACGCAAACTTTGTTCTGCTGCTTCTGAGCAAAACGGCTGCCCCACCTGGATCTAGGGTGAGCTCTGGTTAGTGTTTAGATGGGAGACTGCCAAAGAAGTCCAGGATTGCTGTGCAGAGACAGGCGACGCCAAACCCCCTCTGAATGTCTCTTGTCTTGAAAACCTTGTGAGGTTGCCATAGATCAGCTGTGACTTGACAGCAAAACAAGAAGGAACAAACAAACAACCCCAGTAGCCTTGGGTGCCTCATATCAACCCACCTTTCAGTATCGCCTCCTCAAACTGGCAGCAGCCCTCCAGCGACTCCGCAAGATGGTCTTTTGCGTCACCCACTGCCTGGTCCTTTCAAACTGGAGATGTTGAGGATTGAAGTGGGGACCTTCTGCACGCCGAGCAGATGCTCCGCCACTGAGCCAGGGCCCACCCTCGGTTCTTGTTCTGTGCAATGGGAATCGTGCCTGTGTTTGAAGAGGAAAAGGCATGAGCCAAGCCCTGTTGGCAATGCAAAGGTGTGGCATCGTTGATTGGAAAGAGGACGTTTTTGTTTTGCGATTGTTCGGCAGAAGCCTGGAAATGGGTTTTGGCTGCAGTCTTGGGGTCTCCTCTTAAGGCCTGTTGTCTTGGGTGTCCAAGACAAGTGTGGCTCACGAACACCTAAGAGCCAGAGGAGAGGCAGAGGTTGTAGCAGCAGCAGCAGCAGAAACGCTGCAGGAATGGTGGCAAAGAAGCAGAAATGGACAAATGTGCTGCACTGGTGGAATCTGGCTGTTCTCAGTGCACCGTTTTTTTGGGGGGGGTGGTTAATGCCGAGTACTGTCTGCTACATGGGCTAGATGGATCTGTCTGGATTTTCACGTTTCTTTATTGCTCTCTGCAGTGAAGGGGTCTTCAAGTGTCCGGAGGACCAGCTGCCCCTGGACTATGCCAAGGTGAGCCCCGGTTGAGGTGCGTGGCCAGGGCTGCATTCATGCAGTTTCATCCCTTGGTCAGACGTCCAGCTGCAGGCTTCGTGGGCTTGGGGGGCCCCCTGTGTCTGTGCGTCCTTCTGCAAAATGGGTCGCATGGTGAGGGCAGCAATAGGATGGGGTGGGGTCTTATTGGCACCCAGTGATGTTTTGCTTCCGACTTAGCTTAGCCTCTCCCCATATGGGCCCCGGAGAGCCTTGCGCTCTGCTGAGCAAGATCTGCTGGTTGTCCCCAGCCCGAGGGATGTCCATTTAACCTCGACCGGGACCAGGGCCTTCTCTGCCCTGGCCCCGTTTTGGTGGAACATGCTCCTGCGTGAGATCAGGGCCTGTAAAACTGAGCTGTTCTGCCAGGCCTTTGGTTGAGGCCGCAGGCGTCCAGTAAAAAAGATCCTCCACCCGCCCGCCCACCCCTACTGAAAACACCATCTGTATGGAGCCCGGATCAAATGAACCTAGGGTCCGATGGCACCAGTATTGATGCAGACTGTTTTTAAATGCTTGTCTTCATATTTTAACTGATTGCTTATTATTGTGCGCGCGCGGCCGAATGGCCTATCTGTTGTTGTGATCCGCCCTGAGCCTATTTGCAGGGAGGGCAAAAAATAAATCCGAAAAATAAATAAATAAAGATTTATTGTAAACCTTTTTTGTAAAAAAAAAATATTGTAAATAAATTGCAATAAATTTATTGCAAAAAATAAATCCGAAAAATAAATAAAGATTTATCACTGTAAACCGCCCAGAGACCCCCACGGGGGTTAGGGCGGTATAATAAATCGAAACCATAAATAAATAAATAAATAAATAAAGTGGACGGCATGTTGAAGGCAGTGATAAAACGGGGAGCGGGTGGTTCCCTCTAAGCCGTGGAGTCTTGTGAGCAAAAATTCTGCTTTGTGAGCTACCGGCATAAAAATTGTGAGCGAGCGATTTGGCTCCTGCAGAAATCAGTTTGCTCTGGAGCCCCATCCTCCCTGAGCTGAGTCAAAAATCTGTGAGCCGGAGGTGAAAAAACTGTGAGCTAACTCACACTAACTCAGCTTAGAGGGAACACTGGTTATGATGGGCACTGAGGGATGTTTTGCTTCCAGGCCCCTGCAGATCTGACTTCTTTTCTCTTCCCACCCCTTGCAGATCTATCCAGACCCCGATCTGGAGGCTCAGGTGTTAAGCCTGACTATTCGATGCATACACAGTGAGGAGGGGTGTCGTTGGAGTGGCACGATCCGGCACTTGCAGGTGAGAGGATAGGTTGCAAGTCCTTCGTGGGGCACTCTGGTACTGTGCACGCTGAACAGGAGGAGGGCAACTGGGCCCCTGGGTGCAGTACCCGGGAGGAGAGGGCTGGGCTGGGCTGGATCAAGGGGCGGCTGGGCCAGCATGGGGGTGACTGAGACCCGGCTTCTTCCCGTTTCCTCTCTTCTCCTGCTTGGCAAAGGCGCACCTCGGCACGTGCAGTTACAACGTGGTCCCGTGCCCCAATCGCTGCGGCACCAAGTCGAGCCGCCGTGACCTGCCGGCCCACCTGCAACATGACTGCCCACAGCGCCACCTCAAGTGTGAATTCTGCGGCACCGACTTCACCGGGGAGGCCTTCGAGGTGAGGCCTCCGGGTCTGCTCTGGCGATCTGTGGGTGGGGGTGGAGGCCAGCCGTGCTTGGTTTGTGGTGTGCCTGGGTGTGGCAGGGCTGTCTCCTCCAGGGGCCACTCACCCGGGCCTCTGTGCCGCTTAGTTTAAAGCAGTCTTGCCTTCAGGAGCCGCTCCCCTCATCGGGAGGCAGTCTCAGTTGGAGCTTCTGAAATCTGCAGGCCTCTTACTAGCCTGTGCGGCTCCCGTTTTGTGCTGCGAGGCCTCGCCAGAGCTGCCACACAAGGTTCGGGAAGGGGGTAATTTCTCAGGAGGCAGCTGTTAACGGTTGCAGTGCGGGTGGGCAGCTTGGAGACTTCTTGCCAAGGAAGCGAGAGGTCTCTTTGGCTTGGATTGAAACCTGCAGAGGTTGGGAAGAGCTTTATAAAGGTGGAGGGAAGGGAGACAGCAGGGAAGAGAGCGATGAAGGCTGGCTGGATCAAAATGCCTGTTGTGGCCCAAGATGTGCTCTGTCTGTGTGTGGGGTGGGGGGCTCTTTTCTACTCTTCTTTGAACGCTGCCTTTGGCAATTTGGGAAGCTGCATCTAAGTAAAGGAACATAAGAGGATTGCTTAAAACGGTATACATTAGGGAGGAAAGATGTTGAATTTTGCCTTTGTTATTGGAAGTAATTTGCCCAGTTTTTGGCTGTAGTGTCTCCTGCTGGTTATGCCCGAAGGAAGCACGAGAGACGCCTGAGAGACGTCTGCTGGCCTGCCGGTCCTTTTTCTGAGGATGCGGCCTTGAGGGAAAGGATATGTGGGGAGCAACTGGGATGATTTTCTGCTGCTCATAGATCTCTGGGATAGGGAGGTGGAATTCTGGAGTAAGGGCTTCCAGGCAGGGCGTGACCTCAGGTGGTGCCTTGCTCATTCTTTTTGGCAAACGAACCACTGATTTCCCTGTCTGGTTTGTGACTCTCTTCCCAGAACCACCAGGGCCTCTGTCCCCAGGAGAGTGTGTACTGCGAGAACAAGTGTGGGGCGCGCATGATGCGCAGGCTGCTGTCACAGCACATGCTCGTGGAGTGCCCCAAGCGTACACAGCCCTGTAGTTACTGTGCGAAGGACTTCCTGTATGATACCATCCAGGTGAGACTTGGCTTTCGGAAAAGAAGAATAAGAAGAGATTGGATTTATACCCCACCTTTCACTCGGAGTCTCAGAGTGCCTTATAATCTCCTTCCCTTCCTCTCCCCACGTGAGGTAGGTGGGGCTGAGAGAGCTCTAAGAGAACTGCTCTTGAAAGAACAGCTCTCAGAGAACTTTGACTGAGTCAAGGTCACCAAGCACCTGCATGTGGAGGAGTGGGGAATCAAACCCGGTTCTCCCAGAGTAGAGTCCGCTGCTCTTAATCACTACACCAAACTGTCTTGAGGCACAGGTAGAGGAACTGGAATGGGCAATGACTGAGGATTGTAATGGTTTCCAGTGGATGAGCCAGTGTGGTGTACTGGTTAAGAGTTTCGGAGCAGTGTTGGGGAGAGTTCGAATCCCCACTCATGCCTTGGAAACTCACTGGGTGACCTTGGGGCAGTCACCCGCTCTCAGCCTAACCTACCTCACAGGGTTGTTGTGAGGACGGAATGGAAGAAAGGAGAACTATGTAAGCTGCCTTGGGCCCCCACTGGGGAGAAAGATGGGGCGCAAATGAATGAAATAAGGAGTAAAATAAGATGAAAGTCTGAGGAAAGAAATCTGGGGCTAGTCCCTGGGGGGCATTTTTGAGGAGGGGATCAGGCTGAATGCCCCTCTGACCAGCTTTTTTCTTTGCTTGGCTTTTAAGACAAGGGGAGACACTCCAGGTGTCATTTTTGAGAGATTTTTCTTGCTCAGTGAAAATGGTGGGGAGGAGGATGAGGGCTGGCAGAAGCGAAAGCTTTCTTCACATAATGTATACCTCAGTTACCAGAACCCTCTCCCACAAGAGGCAGCAGTTGCTGTTAAGCTAAAATGGCTGCCTCGGAACAGCTGCCGCAGGAGGTGGAGCTGGCCACAAAATGGCTGCCACAGCTCATCTAAGTCACAAAGTGAAGGTTCCTGTGCTGTGTTTTTTAAAAACCTGCACAGCCAAAAGCCCCACTTGGCCCTGCTCACTTTCTAAAAACCCTTGGTCGGCATCAAGAAGGGTTCGGTGGAGGCCTTGGTTTAGTTCCTACATTTCATGGCTGTAGCTGAATGTCTTTGGTGACGTATGGAATCCAAAGATGTTCTGACTGGGGCTTTGACAGTAGTTGTAGCACGGGTGCCCTGCAGACCCTGTGTCCCTCTGTACCATTCTAGGGCCACTGGTAGAAATAATGTCACGGCCGGCAGAAATGGGCAGCTATCGTTTAGAACACCTGCAGTGTATATTTTTTACAAATTGTGTCTTGGAGTTGCATGAGTGTTTCCTTTGCCCCCCAGAATCATGAGTACCAGTGTCCACGGTACCCTGTCCCCTGCCCCAACCAGTGTGGGGTATCCAGCATTGCCAGGGAAGACCTTGGTGGGCACCTGAAAGAAAACTGCACGACGGCCTTGGCGCTCTGCCCCTTCAAGGAGGCTGGCTGCAAACATCGGGTAAGTCCCCTCCCCACTTCTGTTTCCCTCCCTTCTCTCTCTGCAGGCTTCCGAGGTGGTGAGTCCAGCAGACTCTAAGTCCTCTGATTTTCCCTTCTGGCGGCACAAGCCATTTACTTCCTTGCCAACTTCCTGCTGGTGGCACTCCTTTGTTTGACTGCTGGCTTTCATCTTCTTTGCCTTTTCGGGATAGATGAATAGTTGTCAATTTGACATTAGGAGAAACTGCAGATGCTTAAGAGGACAGCCGAAAGAATCCTAGCTTGGCACCTGGAGAATTGCCCTCTGTTGTAGGAATCACATTCCAGATTTCCTAGTGTTCAACCACTGCTCTTTGCTATACCCTGTATCATTGGTGGCTTACTAGTGTGGGAGCAGGAGTGGCTGTTTATTAATAAATACTGGGTTTTGATAACTTTGTTAATGATTACATTACTGCAAGGTCAGAACAGACCAAACAAAAATACTGCTCCCCCACAGCTGGGTGGGGGAATTCACAACCACAAGGTGTGTGTCTGTTAAGTGCCATCAGGTTGCTTCTGACTCATGATGACCCTCTAAATAAGGGGTGTCAAACATGCGGCCCGGGGGCCAAATCAGGCCCCCGGAGGTCTTCTATCAGGCCCACAGTGGAACTGGCTGTCTTCCGCTTCTTCTTCCAGTTCTGATGCTGCTGCATCATTGTAGGTTTGCAGCTTACAGATACACACCTGAACAGCATACTCAAGATTGCAACAGCACAGACATTTTGGTGCAGTAATTCAGAGCAAGAGGTCTCAGTTATCAGACACTGTTAAATAAACAAAATATTGCAAGAGTGCTAATGTTTTAAGCATGTTTTTATTTTAAGTAAAAAAAACCCTTTGTGTTTGTGTCCTTTATAAAGTTTATATCTCCGCCACCTGGCATTACATTTTATGACACACATGGCCTGGTCCAACAAGGTCTCATTTATGTCGGATCCAGCCCTCATAACAAATGAGTTCGACACCCCTGCTCTAAATTAATGACCTCCAAAATGTCCTGTTGTTAACAGCCTTGATTCGGTCTTGCAAGCGGAGGGCCCTCATGGCTTCCTTGATTGAGTCAATCCATCTCCTGTTGGGTCTTCCCCTTTCCCTGCTGCCCTCAACTTTTCCTTGCATTATTGTCTTTTCCAGTGACTCCTGTTGTAATGATTCCTTGTTTATGTGTGTGTGTCTCTTTAAAAGTTTGGTTGCATGGCTGTATGATAGTCTAGAGTGGTTGAAACAGGCAAGTGAGTGTGATTGGTGATTGGCAGAAAGTGGGAGGGGTTTTAGAAAATGTGTGTCAGTCAAGAGTTACAGTTTAGACAGTTGATGAAGACAGAGAGTTAGTTAAGTTCTGTGCATGAGAGGAGTGAGACACATCCCTGTGTGGGATAAGTTAGTTCTGAAGTCTGAGAGAGAGACAGTATGGTGTGTGATACAAGAGTTAAGTTTTGTGTATGAAGAAAAGTTGAAAGTATAAGGAAACAAGGAAGTAAAGTTAAAGAGGAAAATAAAAAGTCTGAGTGACAGATTGGAGTGAAATAGGAAACCTATATGACCCTGAGTAATGAGTTAGAAAGTTACTTGAAAAATCCCTGTCAGAAAGGGAGCAGATCTTGTGGGAGACACAACGAAATTGTTAAAATTATTCACATTACTGGTTACATTGTTATACACTTTAATCTATGAACTGTTTCAATAAATCTTTTATTTAAGTCTGCCAGCTCTGAAAGAAATAATTTCTCAGGAAACACATAGACCCTCATGAAAGCCTAAAACCTCGACCTACCTACCCAGTGATAGAAATATTATAGTATAAAGGTTTGGAAAGCCTTAAATTTCCTGGTGGCAGCCGGATATACCCAGTAAAACAAAACATAAAGAACATTTTAAAGGGAAACCAGACCTCCCTAGATAAGGGGTCGTCACACCTGTCCTCTCAGGATGCGACCAAAGTACGATTGCCTCAGTTGAGTCATTTTAGCTTCTAGGGAGAGTTCAGGCTTGATTTGACCTAGAGTCCACTTGTCTGTGTTGTTGGCAGTCCACAGTATTTGTGAAACTCTTCTCCAACACCACAAGATGTAGCAATGGCTTGTTTTTTTTTTAAAAAAAGATGAGATAAATTCATAGAGGAGGCCGCTATCCATGATAGATAAATGGAGGCAGTCTACTGGGAATGCTAGAGGCTGGGGTGAAGACAAGAAGGCTGTCTCTGTGACGTCTTCACTTATTGGGGGGACTGTTTTACCTTTAAATACTCTCTCTGTATGTAAACTTGTTAGTTTTCTGCTGCCATCAGGAATTAAAAATTCCAAATCTCTCTCTTTTGGTAGTATGACCCAGGGTCTGGACACTTCAGAGGACTATGTGGCCCTGAGGAATTACTGTACTGATTTCTGGGATAAGTTTAAACAAAAATTGATTTATTTAATAAAGAACAGAATAGGTTTCTGGTTATTTTGAACAGCTGCTGACAAAAGGAACTTGTAAATATAACTGGCAAAGCTTGGTGCCACAAACAGTCTCTCAAACTCCACTCCCGACAGGCTTATATACTCAGTATACTCTCCCTCTCATATATCTCCACACAGGCTAGTCTCTCTGTTTTATTCACACAGAATAGAATGAACTCTCTTAGACTAAACTGTTGGTCTTATTCACATAGAATTAGACTCAGAATTTAGGGTTACCAAGTACTTACCGCGATTCGGCGGGGGACACATGATCCCCGGCCGGAACATTCCTCCCTGTAAGTACCATGCCGTCACCAGGAAGTGACGCCGGGCGACGCTCTGACAATGGGGCTGAAAACTCAATGGTACCATTGAGTTTCCAGCCCCATTGCCGGAGCGTCGCCCGGCATCACTTCCTAGCGATGGCATGGTGCGGCGCGTCTGTTGTCCGCACGGGAATGGTCCTGGGAAGAAGAAGTATGTGTCCCCTGCCGAATCACGGTAAGTACTTGGTAAGCCTGTCAGAATTCCATAGTCACAGACTATGTTCTCTCTCCAAGCTTCACACGCAGACTCCTCAGAGTCACAGACTATGTTCTCTCTTCAAGCTTCACACGCAGACTCCTCAGACACCCCTCCTCCCACACTCTCAGTCAGCAGCCAATCAAATCACACTTGTCACCCTCTATCACTCTCCTTACAGTACTGCAGTCAAATGAAACATTTAAAGGAACACACACACCCTCCCCCAGAACATGGAATCATTGCTGTCTCTCTTTTGTACTTTGAGGCATGTGAGACCAGCCAGTCTTGCAGACAGAATGCTGGGCTGGATGGAGCCTGGGTCTAGTCCAGTAATAGGGTTCTTAAGTCATTTTGTGAGCCACCTGGAGTGGTTTTTTTGGTTAAAAAAATGAATTGTTGACTGGGACTGGTGGTTGAGGCTCCTTCGGACTTGCTGGCTCTGTCCTCTCTCCTCAGTGCCCGAAGCTGGCCATGAGTCGCCACCTGGATGAGAGCACCAAGCTGCACCTCGGCCTGATGGGGGCCCTGGTGACCCGGCAGCGGCAGGAGTTGGCCGAGCTGCGCCGCGAGGTGGAGGAGCTGGCCGTGGGCAGTGACGGCGTCCTGATCTGGAAGATCGCGGACTACAGCCGCAAGCTGCAGGAGGCCAAGCAGAGGGCCAACTACGAGTCCTTCAGCCCCCCGTTCTACACCCACCGGTACGGCTACAAGCTGCAGGTCTCGGCCTTCCTGAACGGGAACGGGAGCGGCGAGGGCAGCTTCCTCTCGGTCTACATCCGGGTGCTTCCCGGCCAGTACGACAACCTCTTGGAGTGGCCCTTCTCCTACCGGGTCACCTTCTCCCTGCTGGACCAAAGCGACCCCTCCCTCTCCAAGCCGCAGCACATCACGGAGACCTTCCTTCCTGACCCCAACTGGAAGAACTTCCAGAAGCCCGGCCAGGGCCGCGCCTCCCTGGACGAGAGCCTGCTGGGCTTCGGCTACCCCAAGTTCATCTCCCACGAGGACATCAAGAAGCGCAACTACGTGAAAGACAATGCCGTCTTTATCAAGGCTTTGGTGGAGATCCCCCAGAAAATCATGCCCTGAGCCTCCCCCCCCCCTCCTTCCAGGGATCGGGTGGGGCCGGTGCCCCATTGCTGCGGAGGGACCCCTCTGGCTTAGTCGAGGGCTGGATTGGGGTGTGCAAGGCCACCCCTCCCTCCGAGCATCTCCCGCCCGAACCCCCACCTTAGGCCTCAGCTGCAAACGGGTCTCTTTCCGCCCCATTCCGCCTGCCGATGGTGCTAATCAATGTTCCCTCTAAGCTGTGGAGTCCTGTGGGCAAAAATTCTACTTTGCGAGCTACCAGCATTCAAGTCGTGAGCAGTTGATTTGTCTACTGCTTAAATTAGTTTGCTCTGGAGAGCCGCATCCTTCCTGAGCTAAGACCAAAATGTGTGAGCTGGAGGCTAAAAAACTGTGAGCGAGCTCACACTAACTCAGCGTAGAGGGAACACTGGTGCTAATTGTTTCGGCCCAGCCTCCTTGGGGACCCCCTCCCCATTACCAAGAGCAGCTGGGCTGCCTCCGCGCCCCCCTTCCCACCTGGACTTCCGGTCCTGGCCTTGGTGCCGCAACCCTTGTGAGCGGGCAGGGGTCTGCGAAGGGCAGGTTCAGGCCGCTGGTGCTGTGCCTTGACCCCCCCCTTTCTTCCAGCAAGAGGCCAGGATTCCTGTGTGTAAGGGAGGACCCCCACACACACTTCAGGGCCTGACAATCCCTGCCCTCGAAGCGGCCTGGCAGTCGCTCCAGCCTCTTTCAACCCCCCCTCTGCCGCTGGCTCTCCGGCAGGTAATTCAACGAGTGCCTCAAGATCTCTGCAGCCGGGGCTGCCAGCATCTCCTGGGATCAAGGGTCGTGGGGTGGGGGTGGGGGGGAGGCCCACTGTGCCCTTCTCCAAAGAGCCATATTTTCTACTCGGAGCTCCAGTGGGGCTGGTCCTTCCCCACTTGCTTCCGGGCGGGGGGGCGGGGGAAGGAGTGCACCTTTTTGATTCCGTTCTGTTCTGAATCCTGGAGCAGCTCTGACCTTCTCTGCTCCCCTCCTTGGCGTGTTCCCCTCCCTTCCTTCCTTTTCTGTCTCTTTTGTGTGTTTCGTGTGTGTTTTTTAAAATAAACAATTTCTTGTATTTATTAACTGGGTTGGACTGCTGGTGAAGGGGCCGGGTGGGCTTTTGGGGCGTTGGGACGTGAGCTGGCCCCCTCCCGGAGCTGGCAGTATGGAAGCCGGCCCCCTCCAAAAGGGCCTCTGGGGACCAAAGTGCATACTGGGCCTGCCCTGCCTTACCTGCCGTGGGCACAAAGGTTTGGTGTAGTGGTTAAGTGTGTGGACTCTAATCTGGGAGAACCGGGTTTGATTCCCCACTCCTCCACTTGCACCTGGCTGGATGACCTTGGGCCAGCCATAGTTCTGATAAGAGCTGTCCTTGAAAAAAGAGCCGTTTCTGTCAAGAGCTCTCTCAGCCCCTCCTACGTTCCCTCTAAGCTGTGGGGCCTTGTGAGCATAAATTCTACTTTGTGAGCTACTGGCATTAAAGTTGTGAGTGAGCGATTTGGCTACTGCATAAATCAGTTTGCTCTGGAGCCGTCCTTCCTGAGCTAAGACAAAAATGTGTGAGCTGGAGTCTAAAAAACTGTGACCTAGCTCACAGTAACTCAGCTTAGAGGGAACACTGCTCACAGGGTGACTGTTGTGGGGAGAGGAAGGGAAAGGAGTTTGCAAGCCGCTCTGAGACACCTTTGGGTAGTTAAGGGCAACGGGGTATCAATCCAATCTCTTCTTCTTCCTCCCCTGCTGTGATCCTGCGATGGGCACAGAAGTGCCTTTGCCGTTGCATCTTGTTAGAGGTCGAGCGTGTGTGTGGTTGGAGGGCAGAAGCCGTCGAGCCGAGTGGTTTGGGAGCTGTGGTTTTCAGAATGGGTGCAGGAAAGCCAGTCCCCCCCCCCCCCCTAGCTGCAGGACCTGTTTTTACACCAGAGTGTCAGCAAACCTCTGAGCATCTGTCAGGCGCCTGCTTTTTGCCAAGGAGAAGCTGGTGAGCTCCCTCACCTAGGAGCTACAGAGTGCAAAATTTGGTCTGTGTCCTCCAGGTGATCTTTCACTGGCAGACAAAGATCTCTCCCAGCTCCTTCGTCTGGCGATGTCGGGAAATGGCCCTGGGACCCTCCCTGTGCAAAGGGTGAGAGTCCCCCTGTCCTTGGGCTGCTGCTTCCCTCTCTGAGAAGTCTTGGCTCCCTTGGTGGAGAGAGAACTCAAGGGCCAGGGCGACCCAGCTTCCTTCTCTTGAAGTTGTTGTTGTTGTTCAGTCGCACAGTCGAGTCCGACTCTTCGCGACCCCATGGACCAGCTCCCGCCAGGCCTTCCAGTCTTCCGCCGTCCTCTGAAGTTTGCTCAATTTCATGTTCGTTGCATCGATGACACTTTCTAGCCATCTCATCCTTTGCCGTCCCCGTCTTCTTTGACCTTCAGTCTTTCCCAGCATCAGGGTCTTCTCCAGTGAGTGCTCCCTTCTCATTTGGTGGCCAAAGTATTTGAGCTTCAGTTTCATTATCTGGCCTTCCAGGGAACAGTCAGGGTTGATTTCTTTTAGGATTGACTGATTTGATCTTCTTGCAGTCCAAGGGACTCTCAAGAGTCTTCTCCAGCACCATAGTGAAGTGCAGGCTTGCAAAGGCCCGGTGGTTGGGCCTGAGTGAGGGAGCCTCTCTCCCATCTGTCTGGGGCTGGGCTGGTTTTTCACGCAGTGCCCAGCAGTTTAAAAATAGCCGGTGCTGAACCACCAGGGCTGCAATTTGCTTCTCTGTTGTTAGTCCGTCCGTCCCCCTTGTAGCAATCACGCGCCAGGCTTTAGGCATGATGGTCTTTGATCAGACAATACTTGCTTCTTTCCAAACCGATTTCCACGTGTGACCGCAGCGAAGGCCGCTGGTGTGGGTGCGTGCCATGGATCCGTGCCAGTCTGCTTTGCTTCTCTGTTCCTTGGGTGTGCACACACACCCGGAAGGTTTGGGCTTTCTGTATGGTTTTGAGGATCTGTTTTCTAAATGGTATTTGTTTTGTCCGCCTTTGGCACTGACGCCAGTTTGGCACTGAGGGTGAGACGGACCTGTCACTTGAGCGTTCAGATCTCACCTTTCCCAGGAACCTTAGAAGGTGGCTTCGGCAACCAGCAGTGGCCCCATTTAACCGTACATTGCTACTGACCTGCCTTACAGGGCGTGTGTAAGGATTACTGAGGTGCTGTATATCAAGGGCTCTGAATGCCCAGGGACAGCGCTTCCTAAATGTAAAATACGACTGCCTCTCTTGGCATATGAAAAACCAGGAAGTGCAGAACAGAAACTGGACAGTACCAGGCTCCCCCACCCCACCCCACACAGAATCTTGAGCCTGGCCTTGGTTTGCCGGCTTCAAGTCCCTCTCCCCAAATGAATACATGTTGGAGGAGGTAATGGAGTGTCCTTCCCAAGGGTGTTCTCGAATGTTCTTCCCGCGGCCCTCCCATTTGGACCGCTGAATTGCTCCCTCTTCTTCTGATGCCTCAGCCTCTGGATGACCTTGCTGGTCATGGGAGAAGATGCTCTTCAGCTGCTTTGTTCAAAGAGGGTGGAGGTCTCCACTGTAAGTTCACATGATGTGAGCTGCAAGAGTCCTCTTGTTGGAGGCTTGGGGGTGTGTAGAATCAGCAGCTGCTTGTGGAAAGAAACATGAAGAATTTCAAGCACTCATCATCTACTGTTGATACGTGGGTTCTGACTTCAGGCTGGCTTTGTGTGTGTGTGTGTGTGTGTGTGGTTAATCTCGGTGTATTGGAACCATCTTGGCACCAAGGCTTCCTCTAAGCTGTGGAGTCCTGTGAGCAAAACGTCTACTTGGTGAGCTCCTGGCATTAAAGTTGTGAGCGAGCGATTTGGCTGCTGCATGAATTTGTTTGCTCTGAAGCCCTCCTTCCTGAGCTAAGACAAAAATCTGAGCTGGAGGCTAAAAAACTGTGAGCTAGCTCACACTAACTCAGCTTAGAGGGAACACTGCTTGGCACCCTAGCTAGCTTTGGGTCTCTGCCTGTTTCTCTTGCCCAAGGTTGCCAGGACCAACCATCTGCTTTGGACCTGGGCGTCCCAAATATCATGCCCAGTGTGAGCGTTAGGAGAGCTGGTCTGAGGACTGTTCTACAAGGACGGTGCCTAGTTGGTGTCACTCTTGGTTTCCAGTTCGAGCGGACCTGGCGGGTCATTTAGGCCTGCCCTGCGCCATATGCTTTAAAATGAAAGGGGATCAGGAAGCCATTGTTCTCCAAGCCAGTTTGGCTGGGGACCCTGGAGGGGTTTTTTTGCCATCTTCTGGGCATGGAGCAAGGCTCACTGGCAATGCTCCCTCTAAGCTGTGGAGTCTTGTGAGCAAAAATTCTACTCTGTGAGCTACCGGCATTACGGTTGTAAGCGGCCGATTTGGCTGCTGCATAAATCAGTTTGCTCTGGAGCCCTCCTTCCTGAGCTGAGATGAAAATATGTGAGCCGGAGGCTAAAAAACTATGAGCTAGCTCGCACTAACTCAGCTTAGAGGGAACACTGGTCACTGGGGGTGTGGAGGGGGAAGTGTTTGTGAATTTCCTGCATTGTGCAGGGGGTTGGACTAGATGACCCTAGAGGTCCCTTCCAACTCTGATTCTGTGAAATCCAGGAAAGCAGGGATCCATCTGAACCACCAAACTGAATTCTCCTTTTCCAAATGGATGATGTTTCCTACGCTGAACAAGTGGTCTGGGTGTCCCTGGAGAGGCCGGGGTAGTCGTCAGGGGAGATTTGAAACATCTGTCAAAGAAAATAAAGGGCAGCTGTTCTTCAGGAGATGATATTAATATCCTGTAATGAGGTTTCTGTACCAGCCGGCCCCACCTCCCAGCTGCTATTGAAATCCTGAAGGACTTTCAGACAAAAAACCTTCTCTTCTGACAAGCTTTTCATGCCGGGTCTTGTAAAGGCGGTGGGATTTGTGCATGGCCCCAAATCGTAGACGAGTGTAGCATGGGGGAGGGGGGAGAGGCATTTGTCATAACATGATGCCCTGATGGGGGGAAAGTATCTAGGCAAAGGACAATGGGTTGTGATCAATGCTTCCTCTAAGCCGTGGAGTCTTGTGAGCAAAAATTCTACTTTGTGAGCTACTGGCATTCAAGTTGTGAGCAAGCGATTTGGCTACTGCATAAATCAGTTTGCTCTG